ATACAAGATATTTCTTGGGCTTTCACCGTTACCCAGCAGTGTGAGGTTCAGGTTCCATGTGAGCATTCTTGGAGCAGTTCCATTATTGTGTGGTCAAATCCTGGGAAGCCAAGGAAGGCTCTACTGGGGGACGAAAGGTTGGCAAGGTGTTAGAAGTTCTCTTGAGCTCTTCTCAGTGTGGCTCCTAAGCAAGGGTTCCTAACCTGGGTTCTTATGAACCTTCCCAGCTCCATGAAGAACAGAAAACCGGCTCCCAGAGGAATGGTAGGTTTCGTGTTCCATTTGTATTTGCCCCTTGCCCCTACTGGCTGATAAAAAGAGCCAGAAGAGGACTGCCAGTACAGGTTGAGTGCAAATCTGGAAGAGTGTTAAAAGTGGGTCTGAAACCCTCAAAAACAAACAAACAAACAAACAAACAAACAAACAAACAAACAAACAACAACCAACAACCAACCAACAACACCTGAACAGAATTGGTGAAGCAGCAAAGACTTTATTGATCACAAAATGCTCTTGCAAGAGCAGGTATCCCAAAGCAGCACACCGAAAATTAACAAAGCATAAAATTATATTCCTTATGAAGCAAAGATCGTTTGAATCAGCAAATAAATGTGGAAAACTGGTTGCTTGGCAGTTGAAAAAGAGACAAAAATTGAATACAGTTACAAATCTAGAGATTGAAGGGAGAATCGTCCAGAAACCAGAAGAAATTAGAAAGTGTTTCCAGAGATACTTTAAAGAACTTTATGCACAGGGGCCGCAGAGAGAGTTTGAAATAGATCAATTCTTAAAAACTAATGGATTATCAAAAATAACCCAGGAAAAGAGAACAAGCCTGAATTGCAAAATAACGCAACAGGAAATTGAAGGTGCCATTCAGAATATGCAATTAGGCAAATCTCCAGGCCCTGATGGGCTTACCTCCAAATATTATAAGACCTTGAAAGACTATCTGATACAACCTTTGATGGAGGTTTGTAACCAGATTATGGAGGGGAAGAAGGCCCCGGAGTCGTGGAAAGAAGCATTCATCACATTGATTCCTAAAGTGGAAACTGAAAAGACTCAACTTAAAAACTACCGTCCCATCTCACTCTTAAATGTGGATTACAAAATCTTTGCAGATATCCTGGCAACTAGACTTAAAAAAGTTTTGAATGAAGTAATTCATAAGGACCAGGCTGGCTTTCTCCCTGGTAGGCATTTGTTTGATAACACTAGGAACATTATTGATATTTTGGAACTTTTACAAACAAATATCAATACGAGAGCAGTGTTAATCTTTATTGATGCGGAGAAGGCCTTTGACAACATTTCTTGGATGTTCATGAAGAAAAATTTGGAAGGGATGGGAGTGGGACGGGGGTTTGAAAATGGAATAGAAGCAATCTATTCAGAGCAGAAAGCTAAACTGATAGTGAACAATGTGGTGACAGAGGAGTTTAAAATTGAAAAAGGGACACGACAGGGGTGCCCCTTATCCCCTCTTTTATTTATTTCAGTCCTGGAGGTGCTTTTGAACATGATTAGGGAGGACCGGACGGTACAAGGAATACAGGTCGGAGTGAAACAATATAAACTGAAAGCATTTGCAGATGACCTGGTTTTAACATTACAGGAGCCAGAATCTAGTACAAAAAGAGTGTTAGAACTGATTCAGGAATTTGGTCGGGTGGCGGGATTTAAGTTGAACAAGCAAAAAACTAAGGTTTTGGCTAAAAATTTGACATCTACAGAAACGGATGGGTTTCAGAGAGAGACAGGATTAAGTGTGGTTAAAAAAGTGAAATACCTGGGGGTTCATTTGTCCTCTAAAAATTTGAATTTATTCAAAGACAACTATGAAAAATGTTGGGTAGAAATCAAAAAAGATTTGGAAATTTGGTCAAGATTGAAACTTTCCTTGTTGGGTCGAATTGCAGCTATAAAAATGAATGTATTGCCGAAAATGTTATTTTTGTTCCAAGCCCTACAGATTGTGGACAGAGTGGAATGTTTTGGAAAGTGGCAGAAGGATATCTCCAAATTTGTCTGGCAGGGCAAAAAGCCCCGAATAAAGTTTAAAATACTAACTGACTCGAAAGAAAGAGGGGGGTTTGCCCTGCCAGACTTGAGGTTGTATTATGAATCTGCAGCCTTCTGCTGGTTGAAGGACTGGTTTTTGTTGGAGAACACTGATGTCCTAGATCTGGAAGGGTTTGACAATGCCTTTGGTTGGCATGCATATTTGTGGTACGACAAGGTTAAAGCTCACAAATTGTTTAAAAACCATATTGTCAGAAAAGCATTATTCATGGTCTGGATGAAATACAAAGACTTGCTAGAGGGTAAGACCCCGAGGTGGCTATCACCGATGGAGGCCAAGGCTCGAAAAAGACCCAACATGGAGGCCTACTGGCCGAAATATTGGGAAATAATCGAAAAAATTGGAGACAATTGGAGGCTGCAGAGCCAGGAGAAATTAAAAAATAAGGTGCGAGACTGGTTACATTATGCTCAAATTCAAGAGGTGTTTAAAATAGATAAAAAAGTTGGTTTTCAGGTGGAAAAATCGAAATTAGAGACGGAACTGTTAGAACCAAAGACTAAGATACTTTCTAGAATGTACAACTTGCTGCTTAAATGGAATACACAGGATGAGACAGTAAAATCTGCCATGATAAAGTGGGCGCAGGACATTGGGCATAACATTATGTTTGAGGACTGGGAAAGGTTATGGAACACCGGAATGAAGTTCACGGCATGTAATGCCTTGAGGGAAAACATTATGAAAATGATATACCGGTGGTACATGACCCCAGTCAAGCTTGCTAAGATATACCATTTGTCTGACAATAAATGCTGGAAATGTAAGGAGGCTGAAGGGACATTCTTTCACCTCTGGTGGACCTGCCCAAAAGTGAAGGCCTTCTGGGAAATGATACACAATGAGCTAAAAAAGGTATTTAGGTATACCTTTCCCAAGAAACCAGAGGCCTTCCTCCTGGGCATGGTGGACCAGAAAGTGTTAAAGAAGGATAGAACTTTGTTTATGTATGCTACCACAGCAGCAAGAATTCTCATTGCAAAGCACTGGAAGACACCAGATTTACCCACGCTGGAAGAATGGCAGACGCAGTTGATGGACTACATGGAACTGGCTGAAATGACTGGCAGAATTCGTGATTTGGGAGAAGAAATAATGGAGGAGGACTGGAAAAAATTAAGGACTATCTACAAAAACATTATAAGTTGTATGAATGTTAAGAATGTGTACGATTAGGAAACTTTTGCTTCAGCAACTTGAATAGGTGAATTGGAAATTAAGTTATAAGAAAGATGAGGTAGACAACATGAAGTAACCATACTATGTTTATTTACAGGGTACAAATAACTGAGATACAGTATTTTAAATTTGGAAACATAGTATTTGAAAGATACAGTAAGACATGAAATAAGGTAACAAATTGCTGATGTTACAATTGCAAAGAACGCAGAATTTGGAAGATGTGGGGAAGTCCGATTGGAATTGTTAAAGTATTTTGGAAAGTTGGAATTTATGTATACTTTCTTTTTCTTACTTTTACTTTCTACTTTTTATTCTGTAAATTTCTGAACATCTGAAAGAAAACTTAATAAAATAAATATTTTAAAAAAAATAAAAATAAAATTATATTCCTTATTACTCAAAGCGCGGTTTCCCTCTGTTGTCTCCCTATTGGCTGGGGTACCACAAGGTTTACAGCCTATCACAACTTCCTAATTAACCTATCCTAATTTGGTCTATATGCCTTGCTGACGCCTAATAATCTAAACTGTCTAAAGTTATCTAGCGCTTCGGCCTCGTGAAAATCAACATTTATGTCTGAGGCTGCCTAGCGCAACTGCAGCCTTGTATCTTTACGTGAATGAAAGCACATTTTGTCTGAGGTTGTTATTAGTAGCTGTAGCCTTGAATGAAAAAGCAACATTATCAGTTCTCACAAAAAGGGAGAGACACAGAGTTGAGTTTAAAGCAAGAAGCTATGTTTTCCTAAATGAAGCTGAGCTTATGCTTGGATAAGCTTACATTTTGGGAATGTGGTGAAGAACCCTGAGATCTATGGACGTATACCTGAAGGAGCCCCCATTGTTCAGCCTGGACACTGAGGTCCAGCGCTGATGTTCTTCTGGTGGTTCTCTCACTGCGAGAAGTGAGGTTACAGAGAACAAGGCAGAGGGCCTTCTCAGTAGCGCAGCCCGCCCTGTGGAACGCCCTCCCGTCAGATGTCAAGGAGATTTATAACGATATAACCTTTAGAAGACATCTGAAGGCAGCCCTGTATCGGGAAGCCTTCTAGTGTGTAAGGTTTTTATATATGTTGGAAGCCACCACGAGGGCTGGGGCAACCCAATCAGATGGGCAGGGTACAATACTAATGTTAATTATACATTCATACCTCGTGTTGCGTTTGCTTCAGGTTAAGTGTTTTCAGGTTGTGTCCCACCGTGACCTGGAAGTACTGGAAAGGGTTAATTCCGGGTTTCACCGCTCGCGCAGACGCTCAAAATGACTTCACATGCATGCACAGAAGCGGCGAATCATGACCCGTGCATACGCAGATGCGGGGTGCGTTTGGCTCAGGTTGTGAACGGGGCTCCGGGAACGGATCCCGTTCACAGCCAGAGGAACCACTGTAATGTTAATAATAATTGAAAGGTGGTATACAAATTGAATAAATAATGATATTAATGATAATCTGCTTGGCCCCTGTGAGAAGAGGCTTCTGGACCAGATGCTCCATGGACCGGATCCAGCAAGTTCTCCCAATGTTTTTATGTATTACTGTGTTTACACTTAGATTTCTGTGGGAAGCACTCTGAGCATAGACAACAGACAATGACAAGAGAGGGGTAAAACACAGAGTATGAAAAAGATAAGAATTGGGACACACAAGGGATTTCCTTGGCCAGTTTTATTCCAATAAATGTCTGCATTTTCTAATAATGCAACAACTAAAGGCATCAGCGCAAGTTGGCTCTTATTTGCTCCTCAGAATCAAGTGGTCTTTGCTGTTCAAGTCGGGCCTCAGAAGGATTATGTACAATTTGGGGGAGAAGATGCAAGCGAGCAAGCCTGCACTGGAGGCCAAGATGCAGAAGATCTCCACAGCCACCATCTGCTTCCCTTTGGTGCTCAGATAAGAGGGAACAAAGGACAGCCAAACACTGCAGAACACCAACATGCTGAAAGTGATGAACTTGGCTTCGTTGAAACTGTCTGGCAACTTCCTGGCCAGGAAAGCCACTGTGAAGCTGACCATGGCCAGGAATCCCAGGTACCCCAGGACACAATAAAACATGGGGGCAGAGCCTTCGTTGCATTCCAGGATGATTTCCTCCACCAGTGAGTTCATGTCCACATCTGGGAAGGGAGGAGCAGTACAGAGCCAAACAGCACAAATACTGGCTTGAAGTGAGCAGCAAACCAGAAGAACAGAGTTGGCCAGAGATTTCCCCACCCATTTCCTCACCCTGGATCCTGGTTTGGTGGCCATGAAGGCCAGAACCACCGTGATGGTTTTGGCCAAGACACAAGACACCGCAATGGAGAAGATGATGCCAAAGGCCGTTTGTCGTAAAGAGCAGCTGACTGGGTGAGGCTGGCCAATGAAGAGCAAGGAGCAGAGGAAGCAGAGCAAGAGGGCAAGGAGCAGAGTGTAGGTGAGGTCCCGGTTGTTGGCTTTGACAATGGGAGTGTCCCCGTTCTTAGAGAAGACGCCAAGGACCAAGGCTGTGACCAGAGCAAAGAGCAGAGCCAAGGCAGCTAATGTGAATCCCAAAGGCTCTGCGTAGGAAAGAAAATTGTGGCTCTTAGGAATGCATTGATCTCTGTTGTGGTTTGGAAATTGATCTTCTTGGCATTTGAAACAATAATCCGAATCTAAAAAATAAATAAATCAGATTAATGATGTATGAGTTCCCACAAACAAGGCAACCTTTTTCTTCTGGCATGTTTTATTCTTTGTAATGAAATGGATTCCTCCATTTCCAATGGCCTTTCAAATTTCCTTTGAAAGAAATATTGCTTCTTCTCCCAAAACACAATTCTGAGCCATTAATTAGTTGGAAACAAGTATCAGAGATAAGTTGAAACCAGTAAAATGCAACAGGTATTTTTTCTTTATAAACCATATAGATGCTATCAATCACACCACCAGAAATTTAGGAAGCAAAGTATTGACGACTGTTAATATGGTGCCATTGAAAGAGCAAACGGTCATCTGTGCTGAAAAGTGAGAAGCCCACTATGATATCTTGGAGCAGCAGAATTTGATTTTGTGTTTCTGGCTCTCGCCCCTAAAATTTTGGGGATGGAGGGTTAGGCAAGTCTCCCCTGACTCCGCAAGCTGTGGCAGGTGGGGAGCAGGCAGAAAACACAGGACATGATCCACACCTATGTCCACAGATTTTCTTTGTCAAGGTTAAAATTGTGGCTCTAGTTTGCCGAACTCTCTGTTTCCGTCTTCTTTCTTCCAGATCTGAGTGCAACTGCTGTTCTGTTTAGGAGTACTGAACTGTTAATAAAGGGAAACTGTTGAAATTGATTCAGAAGCATTTTATAAAAGAGCAGCTGATGTCTCCTACCCGTTTGATTTGAAATCATCCCATCTGGACATGAAGCACAGTCATAGCAACAAAATGGCCGCCCCTCCTTCTTTTTCCGGCTGTAGCCTGGCTGGCACCGATCATTGCACAAACCAAGGGGCAGCACCTAGCCAGAGAGAGAGGAGAAGAGGAAGCCCCCCTTTGCATGGTAAAGAGCATAGTTTGAACCAAAGAGACGAGATCACTTGGCAGATTCATGTTATTCCAGAAAGGAGTTCTGGCTTTACTCCTACATTAAGGTGACGTAAGCCTGGAAAGAGAGCTTACTCTATTGTAGCAACCCCTACATGCATTAACTTGCTATAAGAATTTTATTTATATTGGACCTTATTCTTGTATTTGTATTCTTGAATATTAATAAAACTGTTCCCTTAAAAAAAGAACCAAGAGTCCACTCCCACCTGATTGAATGCTTTGTGCCATGTGATGGCTTCTTCATCCATGCTGAAGTCCACATAGTGTGATTCCTGTGGTTCTACCTTTCCTACTTTCACTCGCAAGAAGGTTTGGTTGGGGAAAGTAACCCAGTTCAGAACATCAAATCCAGCTGCCAATTCCCCATTCTCATCAAAAGACACAAAGTCCCCAGCACTGTTGTTGAAGGAGATGCTCCTCAGGAAAGAGGGAAGCTGGACAGAATGAAACAAGGCATAGATCAAAAAGTAAAGAAGGGAGAAAGTATCAATCAATACATGTCACACAATGGAAAGGAGTAAAAAATGGTGTGGTCCAACACTGGAGCACGTATGGATTTCTAGGAAGTACACTTGGCCAGACACTTAAGTATTTGAGGATTCAGCTCTGGGGTTCCCTGTGCAAAGGAAAAATCGTGCAAAGGCCAGAACCCCTGGAACTGCCCTCCACAAGGTGGTGAGGGGCACCCTAGGCTCTGGGAAGCTTGCAGGAGGACCCAGGGATGCTCCCAGAGCCCTGTCAGGACCTCTCCACAGCCTGGCAAGCAAGGGGGCCCCTTCTTTCTTGGGCTCTGGGGTGCATCGAGTGGCCTTGTGTCTCCTTCCCTGAGGCAGGTATGGAGTGCACTGCCTTGCTCACCTGGCCTTGGGAGGGAAGCGCCCTCATGCCTCCTTCCCAGAGCCCAGCAAGCAAGGGAGAGGGCTGCACACCCAGGGCCCTCCCTGGACCTTCTGAGAGCCTGGTAAGAAAGGAAGACCTTCTGGGAGGGCAGGAGGAAGGGGGAAAATAAATAGAGAGCAGGTAATGGTGAGTTTTCCCTGCTCTCCATTCTTTATTTACTTTCCCCCACAAATATGAGGTTGCAATCCCACATGTAAATCCCACTTGCGAAACTTGCGGGCCCCCTGTAAATAAGGAACATTCTAGGAGCGTGCTAAAAAATTGACCAGACATTTGAAAATAGCATATAAGTTCCTCTTTGGTGCAGAAACAACTGCTGGCTCTAGAAGATCGTTGTTGTTGTTGGACTTAATAATTTAGCAGTCATGGGTAGAAACAAACCTAAATGCTGCCAGAGGAAAGTTTTAGAGGTTCTTCCGGGATAAAGACAAACCATCTTTCTGATATTAACACACCATGTAGCCCAATTTAACATGCCTCCTTCTTCACCACTCCTGAAATATCAGCATCACAAACACATAGGACAGCAGAACACGCAGCTCCTTCCACAACATTCTTGAGTTCTACAAAGAGGGGGCATTTCTGTGTGAGGAAGTGCAGGAGGAGATACTTCCACCTCTGCAACTTGAAGGTGAAATATGGGTAATACAGTGGTACCTTGAGTTACAGACGCTTCAGGTTACAGACACTTCAGGTTACAGACTCCGCTATCCCAGAAATAGTACCTCGGGTTAAGAACTTTGCTTCAGGATGAGAACAGATATCGTGCTCCGGCATCGCAGCAGTAGCAGGAGGCCCCATTAGCTAAAGTGGTGCTTCAGGTTAAGAACAGTTTCAGGTTAAGAACGGACCTCCAGAACGAATTAAGTTTTTAAACCCGAGGTACCACTGTATATCGATTCTGGCTCCAACTTGAAGGCAAGGGAAAACAGGGAAGCACTGAAAAGAATATTTCTTTTTGAGGGAAAGGTAAATGCTGTAAGAGGCGTTTTTTCCATGTGTATGCATTCTATGGACTCTGTGTCTTCACCCATTAGATCAGCCCCAAGCAAAGATTTATTTCAAATATGAAATCTTACCTGCCAAGGTTGCAGTTTGGGAGGATCAAGTCCACCTCTGTCTTCCATAATTCTGTGTTTTGGTCTGGATGAGAGAATCTTATGCAAAGTATATGCAATGGCATAAACCGCATTATAGGTACTGTAACTTTGACCAGTCATGGTCATTTCAAAAATATGCCCAGGAAGGCTCTCCAGACTCTCTTTGCCAGTGCATGTGTCTGTGCTTTCATTGGGGTCATTGGAAACAGAAAATAAGCAGTTGAATGTCTTTTCCCAAAAAGTCTGGAGGAACCCATCTCCATTTGGAGAGTTGGGGTTTAGGATCTGAAGGAATTCTTTAAATCCCTGGACTTTTTCTGTGTGGATTGCAAAAGACAGGGCACCATCAAAGAGTTGAATATCATTATACCGTTGCATTGTTTCTGATGAGAAGGCCCATTGGGCTGTCAAAATCCACAAGGTTCCTGCAGAATTCTCTGCAATAGCTTCATATAATGAAAAGAAATATTTCAGCCACTTCACAGCTGTGATGGTCTGAGTTTCTGAACACAGAACTAATATATTGACTTCTGGGTCCATCAAGATGGAGGACTTAGCCCGAATGAGTTCCAATGAACTGAAATGATCTGTCCCTTGAGATAAGGCTGGTAGTTTTTCCTTGAAGGCTGTGCAGACTCCATGCTGGGAAAGCATTGGCTCCAAGATTTCCATAAACATCTCTCCGTTTTCATCATCTGAAGCAACAAGTCCGACCCATGTCCATTGGAAATGAAGAAGTAGCTTGACAATCCCTGCATATTGATATTTCTCATTGGGCACCGTCCGGAAGAAGGTATGGAGCTGCAACTCGGTCCTCCTCACTGGAGCCAATACACAATAAGCAATCTAAGGAAGAAATCAATCTCACAATAATTGGAGAGTTATAGCAAATGGTTAGGATGCATCCCAAATAACTGCCTGAAGTGGAACCCATGAGAATTTATTGAAGTAAAAATATATTCTTTAGTTTTGTATATCGGAGGAATATGAATGAATATAAGCACAAGTTCCTTGTTTTAGAAGGAACTTTACTCATCAATGACAACATCATGGTCAGGTTTATCATTTACAATGAAGTATGTAGAAAGTGCCCACCTAGCAGTTCGAAAGCAAGTAGATAAATAGGTACCGCTTTATAGCAGGAAGGTAAACAGCGTTTCCGTGTGCTGCGCTGGTGCAGGTTCGCCAGAGCAGCTTCGTCACGCTGGCCACGTGACCCGGACGTGTCTCTGGACAGTGCTGGCCCCCGGCCTCTTAAGCGAGATGGGCGCGCAACCCAGGAGTCGGTCATGACTGGCCCGTACGGGCAGGGGTACCTTTACCTTTACCTTTATGTAGAAAGTGAAATAGTTCTTAAGTGATATTAGATCTATGAGGATGGAATCCTCAAATCTTTTGTTCGCTAATGCCAACAATATTGTCATTTTCTTTCCAGAATCACCCTTTTGATTAACTACTTCAGTTTTGCAGTAAGGTACTAGATAATGTCAACTCATTTCATGGAAGACATCAGACATTTGAGGAATATTCATATTCTTTTCTTCTTCTTTTTCATTGGTTGATTTTTTCGCATCCCCCACCTCCCCATAGAGTATTTTGTTTACCTGGATTGCAACCACTTGGGAAGGTAACAAAATAAAGACTTCACGCTTCCTATACTTTTTGGTGAAATACACCACTAAACTAGTGGAAACTCTGGACATTTCCTACAAGTTCTGCTACTTTGGAAGGAAGGAAGTAAAGCTCAATGAAAGTGTGAATGGATTGTCTGTCCAGAAACTGCTTTTTACTTGGAAATCATGCTTCATTTCCTGAGTGAGGAATTTATGGCCCCCCCCGAACTTCCTGGACCCCAAGTGATCATCCTTGACCATTGACTTATAGAGGATGGGGCTAGTGGGCAACACATGGACAAGGGACATCCCTGGTGTGCAGCTTCCTGGGAGGAGGATTCCTACTGGTGCATTTGCATTGCACCAACCTCCCTCTCTCTCCCTTTCCCTCCCTCCTTCCAGACGAGCTGCAGTGACACTTGTGACAGGAAGTCAGGTGAGCACCAAAGCCCTTCCAACCACGACTGAATATCAGTGAGTGAACTCTTTATTTTCCAGGTATGATTTTTTTTACCAAAAAATGAGTAAAGCCAGACACTTTTGTATCAGTTAGATTTTTTTTCTTTTTCAGTTCCTTTTTCAGAAAAATGAACCCACATCAAAGGAAGTATGGAGAACCAGAAGATAAATATTGTTCCAGAGGCAGAAAAGATTCACAGCTCATTTACTTACTATCTCCCACTTGAACTACTGCCATGCACTCTACCTGGGGCTGCCTTGAAAGGTGACCTGGAAACTGCAACTAATCCAGAATGCGGCAGCCAGACTGGTGACTGGGAGTGGCCACTGAGACCATATAACATTCAAAGTGTTGGTGCTGACCTTGAAAGCCCTAAATGGCCTCAAACCTGAAGGAGCGTCTCCATCCCTGTTGTCCTGCCCGGACACTGAGGTCCTCCTCCAAGGATCTTCTGTTGGTTCCTTCACTGCGAGAAGTGAGGTTACAGGGAACCAGGCAGAGGGCCTTCTTGGTAGTACACTCGCCCTGTGGAACGCCTTCCCTTCAGATGTCAATGAAATAAACAACTATCTGACTTTTAGAAGACATCTGAAGGCAGCCCTTTATTGGGCTTTACTGTGGTTTTATTACTTGGTCAATTCTACCCAGGCTCCAATACTTTGAGGCTCCAATACTTTGGCCACCTCATGAGAAGAGAAGACTCCCTGGAAAAGCCCCTGATCTTGGGAAAGATTGAGGGCACAAGGAGAAGGGGACGACAGAGGACGAGATGGTGGGGCAGTGTTCTCGAAGCTACCAGCATGAGTTTGACCAAACTGCGGGAGGCAGTGGAAGACAGGAGTGCCTGGTGTGCTCTGGTCTGTGGGGTCACAAAGAGTTGGATGTGACTAAACGACTAAACAACAACAACAACAACATCACAGAGTGGCTGGATCAACATTTCTATGGATGGCATAGAAATATTATTTATATTAATTATTATTATTTATTATTATTATTATTATTATTATTATTATTATATTATTATTATTATTATTATTATTATTATTATTATTATTATTATTATTACCTGTGGAATCTTGTAGAGGTTTAAGATCATAGTCATATGAAGGGAGATGTTAGAGTCAAGTGCTCCAATAACAGCTATCATATTTCTTTTCTTGTCACATTTGAAGTTGGGGACAATCCTTTCTGTGATGGACAGAAGTTTCAGGGTGTTCTGATAAGTCATCCTTGCATTTCCAAAGCTATCATAGAGGTGGAACCCAAAGCTCATATTCGGTACGATGTTGGGGTTCTCATTGATTTCTTTCACAGCAAACACCAGGGAGAGGGTATTCTGGTAGTTCTTCAGTGTTGAACTAATAAAAGTGTTGTACAATTTGTCAGAGGTATTGAACTCTTCTATCTTTTTAAGCACATAGCTGATTTTCTGGCTTTCCCCAGGAAATTCCAAAAGATTAAATAACACAAAATAAGCCAAAAACCTCATATGCATTGTGCTTCCTAACACTTCATAATGGAAATATATGGTCAGTATTCAGTCTGCTTTAGGAATATAGCATCTAAAAAGCATTTAATTATGTGCAGAACATTCACATGCTGCAGCACACATGCATATAAGTGTTATCCCTTATGATTAATAGATTAGACAAACTTAGAGGTATTGATTTTAGTTGGTCTACTCCACACATGCTTCAGTAAGATGTTTTGTTTTGGGAAAAAAAAAGTTTGCAAAATGTCAGTTATTTTTACCCAATATTGTTTAAATGGTACAGTTGGGAATATTATCCAGAATATATGATATTCCTGTCTCACAACATCTGTGATTGTCAGATTGAATGATACTGATTGTGAATGTGGGGATCAAGCTTTGATGTAAAGTAAAACCATCCATCCTTGGTGTGAAAGGAAACACAGAGGGAGGAAGAGGATCAAGCATGAGATCAGGTGAGGAGAAAGCAGAAGAGGCAGAAGACAGAAACCTGCAGATGAGGAATAAAGCAACATAGGAGAAGATGCTATTATCACAATATAAAGAGGTGGAAGCATATTTTTTACCTTCATACATGGAAAAAAAAAGTCAAATGTTTTCTGAGCATGGCATGGTTTGTATGGTGTAGTTGTAGCCTATAACAGCATACAGAAGTGTATTCTAGAACAGATAGAGTCATTTCCTTACAAAAGTTCATCTGTAAACTTTGTGTTTGGGTGGGCATGGAAATCTATTTCTTCAGATACATAGCCAAAAGCATAAAGAACTCCTCCAATGATCAGGTCCCCTCTCTGATAATACTGGAATGGAAGCTGGAAAGGATTGGTCATGGTGCATCTCTCAGAGTCTTCCTTGCACTCAGTTGGAGGCATCTGGAGCCACAGGAAGAGAAGGAGCAGCAGCAGAAATGTTCCTGCCATCCTAACCAACGGCAAATTTCTCTCTCATCCACCATAAATTGCATTAGGTTTAATGGCTCTTGATTATATTCTATGCTATGGATGTTTGTATGTGATGCCAATAAAAGGTTTTATGATGATGATATTGTAAAGGGGATGTGCCAAAGATCTGACCCATGAGATCCTGTGTATTCACAATTTCTCACTGGGGCTCTGAATATCACAGGGTTTATTTAATATACTCTTTTACACTCTGATACTGACTGTGCTCATGGTCTGACATGGGATTTGACAAGATGGATGATGAAACCCATCAGTTTGAGATAATTACTGGTTCCAAAGTTATCTCCCTAGAGCATTCTGCTCTGTGAGACAAAATTATAAGAGCAAAATAATCATACATATTTCTCGTTGAGACGTGCACTGTGAATGGCGAGTCACAGGAAAGCAAGCAGCCCACCTGCAAACCGGTAATCTGAAGGGAGCTCCCTAGTTTTTCCAAATCTCTTCCTCAATCACACATGCACCATTTTCTCAAGTGTATGTATGTCACCAACAGAGACGTGATTTTTAGGATTTTGGACCTCAGGTGTGTACCAACAAGAGCAGCAGCAACAGCAAGCAACAACAAGTGGTGTATCCTTGTACACCAGTTAAGGGGAGGGAGAAAAAGTTAAAATAATGCAGACTTCAGTTGCAGGTGCAATACAGGGTGTTACATTTCCCCACAAAATAGAGAAATGGTTAGTGTTTGCCAGATATTTCTGTTTCTAAACACTTCAGAAAACCCTTCTTGCATGAACCAGCAGCTTAATCTGACTAGTTATATGTAAAGATGTAGAGAAATGCATATGGAGAAATGTATTTTTTCAAGAATGCGGCAGCCAGACTGCTGACTGGGAGCAGCCGCTGAGACCACAGAACACTGATCCTGAAAGACCTACATTGGCTCCCAGTACATTTCCGAGCACAATTCAAAGTGTTGGTGCTGACCTTGAAAGCCCTAAACGGCCTCGGTCCTGTATACCTGAAGGAGCATCTTCACCCCCATTGTTCTGCCTGGACACTGAGGTCCAGCTCCGAGGGCCTTCTGGCGGTTCCCTCATTGCGATAAGTGGGATTACAGGGAACCAGGCAGAGGGCCTTCTCGGTATTGGCGCCTGCCCTGTGGAACACCTTCCCATCAAATGTCAAGGAAGGAAACAGGTCTCTGACTTTTAGAAGACATCTGAAGGCAGCCCTCTTTACGGAAGTTTTAATGTCTGGTGTTTGTTGTTGTTGTTGTTCTGTTGGGAGCTGCCTAGAATTGCTGGGGATACCCAGCCAGATGGGTGGGGTATGTATGTATGTATGTATGTATGTATGTATAAATACATAAATAAATACTACTATTGCAACTACTAATTTTTACCATTTCCGAAAACAAGATTCTAACCATCCAATTAGAGATGTGTCTATTCCTGAATTTTCTTCTCATTCCACTGCTAAAATAGTAAGGCCCTGTAAGGCTTTCGTGATGGTTCCATTGGGTGCTGTGTTGTTAGGAATAAAGGTACAACATCTTTCACCTAACATTACACATACCCCTCCTTTTTCTGCCAATACCATATCTAAGGCCACCCTATTTTCCCAGGCCACTCTCCTTGTAGCATCCAATTGGTTAGCCATATCCTTTCATTGCATCTCTGGTATAATTCAGAAACCTCTATTGGTTATAATATATAATTGATCCAGACTACATTATTGTTGATTGTGACCCACCAAAACAAGAAAGATTCCCACCTTGCTGCTGTCTAATTTTGGGCTTTAAATTCATCAGGGTCCTCCCTAGGAACCCCCATGGAATCTATATAGAGTCCATCATCAAAAGAATTAGCCAGAACACTTCGTTTCCCCCTTCTTTTTGTTTCCTCATGTTCAAATGCCAGGGTGAATGGGATAGCCAATGGCACCATCGATCCACTCTGGGAACACTTAAGGCAGAATAGTTTCCTGTTTCATCTTCATTCACATTTAGGAACTCTACACCATGGGTAGACAAACTAAGGCCCGGGGGCTGGATCCAGCCCAATCGCCTTCTAAATCCGGCCTGCAGACAGTTTGGGAATCAGCGTGTTTTTCTACGAGTAGAATGTGTGCTTTTATTTAAAATGCACCTCTGGGTTATTTGTGGGGCATAGGAATTCATTCATCCCCCCCAAAAAAATATAGTCCACCCCCCCACAAGGTCTGAGGGGCAGTGAACCGGCCCCCTGCTGAAAAAGTTTGCTGATCCCTGGTCTACACACTGACTCGATTCTCCCAGATCTCTGATATATTTCTCCCCCTGCCTTGAGAGGCAAGCAGTGTGATTACCATTCGCTGTGGAGAAGGCAGGTGCAATCCTTGATAGCGCTAAAGGCAAACATCTAATCCAGGGCATTTTAGTTTCCAACACTAATTTAGATAACTGTTTTTTTAAAGGTTTGATTCATACCTTCTATTTTACCTGATGATGGCAGATGCCAAAGGGGTGTGCCATTTATGGGTCATTTTTATTATAATTTGGAAGAACAAATTTCATGGCAATAGTCAGTTGTGCACATTGTTGTTTCTAAGAAATATGCAAATAATTTATTTACAACCAACATAGCACCCAAGCCTCCCAAATGTCTTGTCCTGGTGCCGGTGCTGTGTGTGGAATATAGCAGTGTTACCCAATCTTGGGCCTCCAGCTGCTTTTGGACTACAACTCCCATCATCCCTAGCTAGCAAGACCAGTGGTCAGGGATGATGGGAATTGTAGTTCAAAAACAGCTGGAGGCCCAAGGTTGGGAAACACTGGAATATAGCACAGATGGCGGCTGTTGGTAACAGAGCCTTGAAAAAATATTGTGACACAGCTTACAGGAGCACTTCACTACTGCAAAACAACCGTTGCATACCATTATATGAACTCATATTGTTTTTTCTCCCAACTAATTGTTCCGTTATTCATTTTGGGCTTAAATAAGGAGTGTTTGGGGGAAAGATGTAACCCATTAAACCTGCACTGGAGGATAAAATGGAAAAGATCTCCACAGCAACTATGTATTTTCCTTGGGTGCTCAGGCGCTCAGAAACAAAGGACACTCAAACAGTTTTCTGCTTCAACCCTTTCTCTCTCACACTCTGGCCATGTTCCAGTCAGCTTCGATTCATTTCTTGATGAGGGAGATGGAGTGGTCATGCATATTTGGAGAGGCAAGGCCAGGGATTGATTCATAGGATCGGCCAGTTCATGGACTGCTTTATTGAGACCCATTGCTAATAGCAAGATTCAAATCAGATATGTGAGAATCTTTCCTGAATTATACCGAATATACCTCATAATCTGGGGAACACAACTGATGCACAACTCTAGTGAAGTTCCATAAAACAGCTGTCAGGAGCCAGTGTGGTGTAGTGGTTAAGAGCGGTAGACTCGTAATCTGGTGAACCGAGTTCGCTTCCCTGCTCCTCCACATGCAGCTGCTGGGTGACCTTGGACCAGTCACACTTCTCTGAAGTCTCTTAGCCTCACTTGCCTCACAGAGTGTTTGTTGTGGGGGAGGAAGGGAAAGGAGAATGTTAGTCGCTTTGAGACTCCTTCGGGTAGTGATAAAGCGGGATATCAAATCCAAACTCTTCCTCCTCCTCCTCCTCCTCCTCCTCCTCCAATAACCCCTGCACTAGGTGGGACATAATCAGTTCTAAAATGTGGCTTAGTTGGCCCCAACATAGAGAGCAAGAGGGCACCAAAATGTTTAAATTCTCCCAAAGACAAGAGCTCTTCAAAAGGATTGGTTGGGAATACAACCAGGTCTCCTGCCAGTGAGCTAGCTGTAAATTCTTGCATGCGTGTGATGGATGCCTTGAGTTGCACCCCTGCACCACTTGGAACGGGTGCCATGCCTGCCCCTCTTAAGGACAGGGTATCCAGTTAAAGGGATCCAGGAGGAGTTGCTACTGTCCAGACCCCCAGGCGGGATCAAGATGAGGATCCCATGGGGGTGTTCCTATTTGATGTATGTCCTAGGATTCCCTCACTGACAGCTTGAACCTAAAGGAATGCCTCCAGCAGGCAGGCTGGAAGCCAACCATTGTATCCAATGCCTATACCAAACTTCTTACATCTGTAATCAATAAAAGTTGTTGTCCTGTCTGGTTATTTCATTTAAGACAAAGGTGATGAGTAGCACGGAGTCTGGGCACACAAAAGGAAGGAAGGAAGGAAGGAAGGAAGGAAGGAAGGAAGGAAGGAATTATTACTGCTTTTCTCAAAAAGTCA